AAGCCCTAGTGATATAGTAGGCTATATAAGCATTGGGCTCCTACTTAGCAGTCAAGAGTTTGAAAACTCCAGCCACTATTTCAAAGAAAGATGAGTTTTCCATTCTCATAAAGATTTCCAGCCTCAGAAACCCATGGGGTGGGCCGTTCTCCAATCTCCTGCAGGACCATAGTGAGTCAGAATCAATGCCATCACCGTGAGTTTGATTTGAGGAGCTAAATATTCATGTGAACATCTGTATCAAAATGTTAAATATAATAGCAGTTAAAATTCAGATTACACAGTTTTGAAATAATAAGGAAGAGAAATATGTACTGCTCTATTTAAACAAGATGTGCTCTGCAAATCAGTGAGACATAAATATGTCTTTAAAATATAGCAAGTAATATTTAGTCACAGGAGACAAAATCAACAGTATCTGGATATAGCAAAATATACTATGTTACTAAAAATGCTAGACATATTTTAAAATCATTGCTAATATTTATAATATGCAAAATAACATGCTAAGAAAGGTATGAATCATATGAAAGTAAGTCACTGTTGTGATTTATGATGCATTGAAATATTTATATGTGCTTGTACCAATTTTATATAAGAGGAAATTGTAAGCACACACAGAAGATGACCTGCAGACATAAGCAAAATAAAATTGTGACAAGAATAAGAATCTCTTTAGTTGCCTAAGTCAGGCCAACAACCCTTAAGTTTAGATATGTTTTGGACTTTAGCAGTTTTATCTTTTAAAAGCCATGCAGTTCATGGATTGTACATTGTGTGACAACCTTCCCACCCCATTCCCTGCCCCAGGTGTGATTTATGGCGGGAAACTCTATCACACTTATCAATATGAATATTTATTGCTAGGTGGACATAAAAACAACTCTAATATCCTCATATCATTCACATCAGGTTTGGCTCCAAAATGAGATTGCAACAAACTTAAGCCAAATACTTTTGTAGATAAGGGATTTGGGACCGGCACTCCAGCAAGCTCAGAAAACAAATCTATTCTCTTCTGGCTGACCCTCGACAAGCCACAGGCCTTCCTCTGCGTGGGAGGGGATTTATTCGTTGTCTTGGCAGCCCATTTCAACAGGAGACAGATTACAACTTTACCACATCAGAAGCATCATCATCAATCATTTCATGCACCAGAGGCTTTTGTATTCAACAGGCTTTGTAGTGTTGTAGTGACTAAAGTGTGTAATGTTCTTTGGATTAGAAGTGATAGGAATTTATGCCCTCTTCATTCAATTAATATCTGTTTGAAATCTGCTTCCACATGATTGAGAATAGAAAACCAGTATGACCTAGGGCATCTTCTAAATATTCCTCAGAAGAAAATTAAATTGTTATCACTTTCATATATTTTCTCATGATCTTTTTTATTCCTTTGTGAAATTCTATGAATTCAAGCTGCATGGTAAACAGGACATAATTAATAAAAATCTATGTTGTTTGTTGGTAAGACATCTTTTTCTAGATTACCTTTCAGGAAACAGGATTTAAAAAATAAATTTAAAAATAGACTCAACAAAGGATATGAAAATAAAGCTCAGTTACAGTAAAACAATAGCCTTGGGACCTGTTTTGGCCTTCATCTGCCTTCACAAATGGAAAGGAAAATCAACCTCAACGTCAGCCCGAAGCCGATTTCCATGAAGTCGACTTTGGCCACGCTGCCATCCTCCCATCTTCTTGAACGATTCTGACCCCAGCTATCCCTCTCTCAGCAGTCGCTGCTTCTCTGCTTGGTTTGATATTCATAGCAATGGCCACAGAGATCTTATAAAGCATACTTCAGGTGGGGATACAATTCAGGGTCATATAGGTTCAGAATACCATTTTCAGTCAGGGCAGCTTCCTCCCAGCCATGCCCACAAGCACACCTCTCTCTGATCCTTGCCCTATAGGCCATGCTGACTCTTTTTCCTTATCCAGGTCAAGCAAGTATAGCTCTGACAATTAAGGGCCTGCTTTATGAGTAAGCCTTGGCACAAAGATGATCAGCTCCAGCCCTGTGAGTCATTGAATTTCGATTCCCTGATAAAGTATCTGATGGCAACTCACTAGCTTGTCATCTTCCTGAAGGGCCTCAGCTTCATGCTCTTGGGCTACAGAGTACACTCCTATATCCTGTCTCTTGGTTCGGTTGCTTCTGCTGCACGTACCATCAGAAGTTAATTCTATCTTGGATTAAGTGGTTCTGCACTCAGGGGATCTTGGGATCCAAAGGATGCACTCTACTTGTGGTTCTTCTTTCTGGTTAGTAGTGAAATTCCTCACACTGCGTCTTAGATTGCTAATCGTAAACCTAGTGGGATAGACAACTGGTCAATTCCCATATTATAGCTTCATTAACCCTGTTTGCGTCATCTCACTCTCATAAGGGTATCATGTGTTTTATTTTCATTATTAGCAAACACTCCACTTCCTATTATTGTTGATGCTATTAGGTACCCTAGAGTTGGTTCTGACCCATAGAGCTCTCCTGCAAAACAAAACGAAATACTGCCCGGGCCTGTGCCATTCTCACAATTGTTATATTTGAACCCACGTTGCAGCCACCGTGTCAATCCATCTTGTCAATGGTCTTCCTATTTTTCACTGCCCTCCACTTTACCAAGCATGATGTCCTTCTCCAGGGACGGGTCTCTCCTGACACCATGGCCAAAGTTTATAGATGAAGGCTTCCCATCCTTGTCTCTAAGCAGTACTCTGGCTGTACTTCTTCCAAGATGGATTGGCTTGTATTTTTAGCAGTCCATGGTACATTCAACATTCTTTAGCACCACAATTCAAAATCATTGATTCTTCTTCAGTCTCCTTATTCAGTGTCCAACTTTCACATGCATATGGGTCCCTTGAAAATACCATGGGCTGGATAAGGTGAACCTTAGTCCTTAAGGTAGCATCCTTGCTTTTCAATACTCTAAAGAGATCTTGGGTAGCATATTTACCTATGCAATTCATCTTTTGATGTCTTTAATGATGCTTCCATGAGCATTAATCATGGAGCCAAACAGGACAAAATTCTTGACAACTTCATCCTTTTCACTATTTGTCATAATGTTATCTGTTGGTGCAGTTAGGAAGATTTTGGTATTCTTTACATTGAGTTGTAATCTATACTGAAGGCTGCAATCCTTGATCTTCATTAGCAAGTGTTTCAAATCCTCCTAATTTTCAGCAAGCAACGTTATCCCAACTTCACATCTCTGGTTGCTAATAAGATTTCCTGTTTCAGATGCCACATTATTCTTCACGTAATCCCATGTGTGTTGTAGGCCCCAAACACCTCGCATTTGCAGAGTCCCACCTAGTCATTTGGTGAGAGTTAGAAAGACGATGGCTAGAAGAGTCATATACAGTAATTCACTGAACAAGAGTATTATTTAATACATGCTAATTATGGGCAGTGCACTGATAATTATTCATGGATATTATAAATTCATGACAACATATAACTTCTGATATTGTAGATATAAATAAAAATATTTCATTTTTATTTATATCTCTAAAATTCTTGCCTGACGTAAAGATGTAGGACTGAAGGGATGAAATCGTAACATGAATACGGTATAGGGGTCAGCTTTGGACTTCAGAAACAAATCTTGATCACTGTAACATACAAATGCTTTTGTAAAAGTTAGTTCTAGAATTTTTTCTGCTATTGGAGATAAAACAAGGGCCTTTGCTTGATGTGCACCTCAAGGGATTAGACTCAGATAAAGTATGACTTCCAAGCAGAGTATTGCCAAGAAGAAGCCCTGGAGGCACCTTTCTGCATTGTAATGTGAAGAGCCGGGGTATAAGCAGAAGGAAACTGTCCTTTCAGGTTTATATGTACTCCGACAAAATAACCCCCTTGGGAAAGAGAGGATAACACATTGAAATAGGTTATAATTATGTGAAGCTTTATGTGAAGTTGTAGAACTTTATAAATCCTGCTCTGGTATTTTTTCCTTCCTCCTGTCAGTTTCTAGAGCTGCCAAGTTAGTTTTAGGAACTAGCTGAGTTTTAAAATGTTTTTCTTACATCTATACACACTTAAAAATAATAGTTGTTGCTCCTCTTTCAATGACAAAATTTCCTATATTTCAATGTGAAAATTGTATTTATATTAAAAGCCAATTTGAGTAAGTTATATCTTGAAGGTCAATTTTTGAAAGGTATTGACATATGTTTACTTCTATTTTTTAACAGTTTTCCTGGCACATAATTTCCATGGCATACACTTCAGTAGTTCAATCATCCAATCATGTCAAGGAGAATTGTACAATCACTACCATATCAATTTTAGAACCCCCCCAATGATTAAATCGCCTTTAAAATTAGTTATGCTATCCCAGTCAGTTCTAGTACTCTCTCCACTCCACACCCCATCTCTCCACTCCACACCCCATCTTCATTCACCTCTTCTGAAATTCCTCTTCCCTCTGTATCAACCACTCCCCACCCCTGCATCCCCTATCACCCCTTACCAGGTATTATCACTCGGCATCCACTCCTCCTGTGGGGCACAAACTGGGAAACCCACCAGAAACAATATCAATGAAATGTGAAATAAGGTGGTAAGGATAAAATAATAATAATATAAAGACCAAAATACAAATAATGAGTAAGAAAGAAATGACCCTCATTACCATTTCAAAGGCCAGGAAAGAAATTTCTGTCGTGAACAAGTAAGAGATACTTGCACACAGAACCAACTCAGACTGGGTCTATAGAGAGGTCATCTGGGAAAGTATTGAGTTCAACTCACCATAATCAGGATTACAGTGGTCTCTGCCAGAGAGCAATGCTGTGGGAGACGCTTGCCTGCAGCTGGAGTGGATCTACCAGCGGCTCAGTCTGACTAGATTCTCTGCAGAGGGGTGTTGGGCTCCTACTGTCCTGGGTAGCCTTCTGGCAACTGGATGTTCCTAATTTTAGCCCTGATACTTTTTCCTTCACCATACTGAATTTTTAATTGTCATCTTTGGCTCACATAAGAAAAATATATAATTTTTTTCATGAATTTCCAAGTCATTCTTGCACAGGGGCGGTGCTGGTCTTCTCCGTGGCATTCCAGTTTTATTATAGGTGCCGCTGAAGCAAGTACAGTGATACATTTTAAAGACATGGAGTAGCAAATGATACACTATTCATGACAAATAAACTCAGTGACCACATAAATGTTAGAATATAATAAAAATAAAATATTAATTTTACTACAAACCTGCTCCTGTATTATATTATACAGCTTTCTATTTACAGGAAGTTAAAATTCTAAAAGATTACTTATGAAATTACTACTATGTATTTAATGTCTAAATAGTAGAAATATGTGCTGATTTGTTTTTAGGTTTAAAACACGTTATCAGCCGAGTTCTGAGTTTCTGTGCCACTAAAGGTATTGGGTTGTTACATAGACAAGAAAAGCAGATGCCTGTTGACTTAAAAAGGGAAATCAAAGGAAAGATGATGATAAAGAAGAGAATAAGGAAGTACAGGCAAAATGTTCAAATTTACCAGTCAGGGTATTGGGTAAAAGATGTATGTGGTGTGCTTCCTTAGGGATTACAGACTGGAAAACCCACTAGACAGGTACTCTCTGAGTCACTATGAATCAAAATAAACTCAACAGCAACATTGTTTTTCTTTTGGTTGCTGGGTTTCAGTTTTATGTTATGCTATATTAAGACCCAACAAGTGAACCAGAGACAAATGTGTGTGGTTGAACCTGTATGGTGTAACTCTCTATGCTTCCACTAGGGGAAAGATCCGATGTCAGAAACCACAAGGGACACCAGGAACATTTGACAGGATGCCAAGGCAGCGGAGCACTATCTCCTCCACAAATTAATTACTGTGCTGTTACAAAGTGAGGGAAGAATACAAGGGGGGAAATGGCAAATATCTACTACCCCTAAGTAATTAGAGGAGAACTTGGAGATTATTCTTTTTTTGTTTTTAATCATTTTATTGGGGTTCATACAATTCATCACAATACATAGATCAATTGTGTAAAGCACACTTATACAGTGGTTGCCCTCATCATTCTCAAAATTCGCTTTCCTCTTGGGTTCCTGGAATTAGCTCATTTTCCTTTTGTCCCCTTCCCCTCTCCCCCCCTGCCCCCCTCCCTCATGAACCCTTGATAATTTATAAATTATTATATCTTATCTTACACTGCTTGGCGTCTCCCTTCACCCATCCTTCTGTTGCCCATCCCCCAGAGAGGAGGTTATATGTAGATCCTTGTGATCGATTCCCCCTTTCTAACTCCCCATTCCCTCCGGGTATCGCCACTGTCACCTCTGGTCCTGAGGGGTTCATCTGTCCTAGATTCTCTGCGTTTCCAGTTCCCATCTGTACCGCTGGGCATCCTCTGGTCTAACCAGGTTTTCCAGGTAGAATTGGGGTCATGGTAGTTGGGGGGAGGAAGCTTTTAAGAACTAGAGGAAGGTTGTGGGTTTCATTATTGCTATGCTGAATCCTGAGTGACTCATCTCCTCCCCACTACCCCTCTGCAAGGTATGTCCACACCAACATGTGAGATGATTCCTTTTCGTTGTCACGTAACAGATTTTCTGTACCAAAATGTAGGGACATAGAAAGGACTTAATCTTACTCCATGTGGCCGTCATGAATGTAGAGCTGAGTCAGTTGGGCTAGCACGGTCTAGCGTTTCCTTCACATACATATCTGGTTCCTGGCCAAGAATTACTCAGTGGATGAGTTCAAATAAGATTGTTGATTGAAGATTCTTTATGTGATCTTTCCCAATGGCTTAGGTTTTCTTGCATTACAATGTGTAAGGGTTGTTGGACTTCCCACATGCCAACAAGAATCCCACAGGCAAATGTTCCAGTGAACAAACGAGAAGCGACAGACCCTTTTACGACTCAGTCGTGAAAGAGGAATAGTGTGATCGACACCGAGTTCTGTTGAAGAATAAGAAATCTGCCTTAGATTTAAGAAGAAATGGTTTATACTTTATCTCTCAATGGAAAAGCTATCAAAAAGTTGTCTATTTGAAAACAACCACAAAGAATAAAAATTTCAGATACTTTTTCTTTGGTCTCATATTTGTGTGTGAGAGAGGGATATGGATTTGAAAAAATAAAATAACTTTAACTCTTAAATATTGTCCATGAACTATTGCTTGCTAAACTCCTTTCCCTTTCCCCTAATTCCTGAAGCCCTTTCATTTAAAACATAATTTTCATTTACCTCTTCTGAAATTCCTCTTTCTCTGGGTTAGTTGCTGTCTGGCATGAATGATAGATTGTACCATCACATGCCTTTTTCATACTCCATAAAATTAAGAACCCTGTACCATGTTCAGAAAAATTGCCCATCAATCTGGTAAATCTCAGATATCAGTTCTATATACTGGCTGAATAAATGCCCTGGGATCCTGTGGACTGTTTTCTTTGGGGTAATTTTGGTTGGCTTGCATATGCATTTTCCTTATCAATCTAAAAATGAAGCAAACAAATAAAAATAACGTATTAAAGAATGGTCTATGATTCAAGCATGCAAATTGCAGAACGGCCTTTCCCTAACACAGGGATTGTTTTACATGAACTAGCTCATCGCCGTTCTAATTATAGACCGGCTGACCATCTCTGACAGAGCAGGCTAATATAAATCAGTTCTAGGCAAGTGCTTTATATGAAACACATTTCCATGTGTTAATTTTTCAGTCATATTCAAAACAGAAAACGATATTAGGACTTTAAAAAATTCTTATGAAAACTTTATAAATTCACATTTTTTTGGTGTGGGGATCTTTATTACACTATTATGCTAAATGAAATCAAAAGTGTGAATTCAGCTATGTTCATATTAGTCCACATGCTAATGCTGTTATAATTTCAAGTATACTTGGCCACAGCCATAAAAACGTTATTAAGTAAGATATGTAAGATTGTTCCATCCTATTTTAAACATAGACTAATATTAGGGATGCTTATTTGAGACAGTTTAGATTCAAATTCTGAATCATGTGGCATTGTTTCAATAAACTAAAAATGCAACTAGAAATAGAAGTTTGTGAATAGCTTGCATAGTTATATAAAATATGGCATCATTCAAGGAATGCTATCTCATTAAACCAGTTTGCTGGACATTAAGAAAAGTGAAACTGAAATTTGAAAATTATTTGCTATAAAAGACACTTTCAGGTGATAAAGAAAAGAATTCACCTAGAACGTAGGAGTAGAGATGGGCCTTATTCAAGCAATTACAGAAGTACTTTCTCTTTAACCTTTATGTTCAAAATATTGTCACTCTTTTTGTTATTATTTTATCAATTAACGAATGCCTAGTTTTAATTTTTTCCTACAAAATTTAATTTCATATGTTCAGGAATTTTGTCACTTTTACAGTTACTTAACTTTTTCTAAATTCTACAACAGTTATCCTTTCAAAAATATTTTTGTAATGTTAACCTTTTTAGTCCATCCACTCTGTGTAGACAAAACTTTGTTAAGGGTGTTTTTAAACCACCAAATATTGTGGACTATTGCCAATTAGCTCAATTTCATAAATTTCTTCTTTAAACCTAGTGTGATCTAAAGCATTAGATATCTCCCCTCAACTATGTTCCTTACAAAGAATATTTGATAATTTCTCCTCAACCCCTAAATTGTTATCGATGTATTATTTTTTTCCTCTGGTTACTATGTGTGTAATTCCTATCTTTGCTAGGAAGGACACTCTTTCCACATATTTATGCATTATATTTTAGCATCTTTTATCCACTCATGGGTAATATAATCTTTGACCTGCTCTTGCATTTTGATTTATTGCAGGGTAGCAATTTATAAAATACCAATATCTCTTGTCCATGAAACATAATGTAAGAAATTGTATGAGCATATTTAAAAGAGAGATAGCAATGTAATTTGGCAAAGATGTGAGAGTTCACTGGTAATAAGAAAAAGGAATATGCCAAGGTCAATGCATTAGAGGTTGTGCTGGCTAGAGTTTATGTCAACTAGACACCCCTGAGTGAAGGTTCTGGTAGAACCTAACCTCGCCATCAGATTGCAACCTGATGACATCTCCTTGGGGTTGTGGCTGTGTGTATAAGAGGGAAATCCTAAACAGAGCCAACTTCTCTTTTCCCCTTCATCTTCTGCTGGAGCTAGATCCTGTGTCTGGTTCATCAATCTCCTTTTGTTTCACCTCCAATCCCTGGAGCTTTCCAGGGACTGCTGACCTTGGAATCATTCAGCTGACCTCGAATTCATTTACCTCTGTATCAACAAGCCTCTGGCCCTCTGGCTTCATTGTCCTGCTTCCTGTCCATCAGCTTCCACTGGTATCTGCATCAGAAAAGCCTTCAACCCACATCTGACCTATGAACTTCAACCAGACTGACTTACCTGCTTCTTACAACTTACCTATTTCTACAACTGTGTAAGCCATTTCTTGATATAAATCTCTTTGCATAGATGATAGATAGATAGATAGATAGATAGATAGATAGATAGATAGATAGACTGATACACACCTTCAAGTGTCACTTGTTTAACTTCTCTAGAAAATCTAATCTAACAAACAGTCATTGTTGAGGATAAACATTTTTGACTTGTCATATTAAACAAAGAGGAAAAATAAAAGAAAGACTATCATAAAATAAAAGTATTGCAATAGAGATAATGCAGTACTTCATAACTCTACATGACCAATTCTAGACATCTAGACAAATTCTAGATGACAAAGAATGGTAAAAGGTGTAGTTGAAGAAAAGTGCAAAACAGAGACCTGTTTGGTAAAGAGATCAAATAAATGAAAATCAAAACAAAAACCATGGAGTTTAATGGATGGAAGACGAAGAAAAAAAATCCAAATGCACTGCCATCAAGCTGATTCCAATTTGTAGCAGCTCTTCAGCTTTTATTACCTTATAAAACATGCCTACCACTCAAAAAGTACAAGCATATTGATGTCCAGAATATAGCATACTCTGCAGACAGAAAGTGCACATCCAAGGAAGACTCTGATGTGATACACAAGCTGATGTCATCAAGTGTGGTTTCCAAAAGTTACAGCAGGTCTTGTGTCTACCAAAACTCAGTCAGGAGATAGAGGCCTGGCTTCCCACAT